CAGAACTGCAGAGAGAACTTCCGGAGAGAAAAAAACAAGTTTCAAACAGAGGACGGAGGATGAGAATGGCATCTGTGCTCTTAGCACCAACACTGGAGGCCCAAGACACTTGGCAAGTCAATGGCCAAGTATTTTATATCTCTTGGCTCAAGTTCCTTGTCTGTAAAATGGGCCCAATGTTGTGTAACCTGAGCTTTCTGAACAGATACGATGGGATTTCCCCCTTTTTCTCAGCCTTTCTGGTCAGGGCTGATCTCCATCCCCCTGTGGTGTTGTTGGGAGTCTCCAGCAGCTCTCGCACTCTTCAGATGGGAAAGGTTTGCTCTAGTCTGTTCTGAAGTGGAGCAGAGCCCCTCCTCCCCTCTGTCTCTTCTGTCCATGCCATTAGAGGGGTCACTCAGCGGTGCTGATTATACCCTGACAGCTGGCAAGGTTGGAACAAATCGGCTTGTATTAGTTTCCCAAGACTGCCACAATAACAGAAGTTTATTCTCTCACGTTCCAGAGGCCAGAGCCTGAACTCAGAGTGTCAGCAGAGCCACGTTCCTGGTGAAGGCTCTAGGGCGGAATCCCCTGGCCTCTCCCAGCTGCAGGCGGCTCCCTACTGCTTGGTGTTCCTTGGCTGGCAGCCGCATCTCTCCCATGTCTGCCTCCTCCGTCTTCACACAGCCTTCTGCTACCCGTGTGTCTCTAGGTCCTCTGCTCTTGTAAGGATGCCAGTCATTGGATTTCGGGCCACCCTAATCCAGTATGACCTCATCTTAACTAATTACATGTGCAAAGACCTTATTTCCAAATAAGGTCACATTCTGAGGTTCCTGGTGGACATGAATTTTGAGGGGACACTATTCAACCCACTACAAAGCTCTTGTACAGATTTTCTTACACCTGTGCCTGGGTTCCTCCCCATTACCCACAGGATGGGACAGGAGCAACAAACAGTCCAGAGGGGCTGGGGCAGGTGACAATTGAGTGACAGACACCACACTTTACTCCAAATCTGTTATCCTCTCTCTCAACTAAGCTTATCTTGCCCCGGCCAGCAACTGGATCCTCTTGGCTTCAGAATGTGATCGCCCCAGGCGGGGTGGCCTCCCTGCTCCTGTGAGGGTTTATATATGGCTGTCACATATCTTAGACCGATGTTTAAACCAAGCCTCTAGTGTAAGTGCAGGTAGAGAAGCATTATATATAATGTTGCTGATTCTGCTTATTAAAAGCAATTGAGAGCTTAACTACATCACATACATCTTATCTCTTTTAATTCCCATTTGTTCAATGAATATTTATTGTGCTTGCACCAGGCACAGCAGGATTTAGAATCTATAATATATATGTGGCTCCTTCTGGATTATGGAGGAGCCTGCAATGGATTTTTGGTGATCTTCTCTAATCAGTCTTCTTTTGCTTTGCCAGGACACCCGATCCTCTGTCAATGTGAAGGCAGCTGCCCTAGACTTGTCACCAGTCACCAGGATCAAGGAAGTCAATGGTAGGAAAAAAACGTGGGTACCTTCCTACAACCTCACCTTTATCAGTTGAAAGAAAAAAGGTTTCAAAGCTTGTAACTGTAGCTTTGGACACATGATCTAATAACAGCAGCGATTCCCATCTTTTAGTGGGTGGTTCTCTGAGATTGTTGCTCATCTGACAACCTAAAATGACATGGGCACTGCCAAGACCTCAGGGGCCGGCACCATGAGAATGGCCAGAGCTCAATTAATATGCTACGAATCTCAAGGTTGGTCATGGTTGTCACCCGGTCTGACCTCTGATTGCTTGGAGCTGAGGCTATCGCTGATCAGGTGAATTTGCATGTGAGGGAGGGCGGGGACGAGACACTGGGCAGGCAAAGCTTTCTGGCTTCTGTAGAGATTGTATGGACATATTCTCATCCACACCACATTGTGTGGGAGTTCTGCACACATCACAGATGGAGAGGAACCCTATAGATTTGGTAGTAACCCGGACTGGATGTTTGGAGAAAGCTGTTGCATCTGTGCTGTGTCTTCTGGGAATCAGACACCTTCATGCTTTCAGGGGATCAAGGAGAAGGACCCAGGACCCTCTGATGTCTTCCCTTAGGGTCTTGGCATCATCAGAATGTGGATAACCTCCTTTGTAGAACTTTCCCTCACATCCCGTCTGTCACCAAGCCTAACTGATCCCATATTCTTAACCCAGTCCCTTCCCTGGTCATCCTTCCCAGGCCCCTTGAATATATGATGGCTATCATTGTACCCCCATGGCCTAGCATGCAGTGCCAGGCACCACATCCCCAGGCTCCGAGGTTTGTGGAATGACTCACACACTAACCTGGGGACTGGGGAGGCTCTGGGAGCTTGTAGGTTTCAACAGCAGGGAATGCAGTTCAGCTGCTTCTAGAAGCACATGCAAGAGAGAAGCAGGGAGGTGAGTATGATTATTACTTGAGTCTAAAAACTGACATGACTAATTAATTTACAGATGCAAAAGTCACCACAAATGGAGAGTGGACAAAGATGATTTGAGGAGGATAGGAAAAGTGCAGACAGGCCACCTTTCAGATTGTTTAAGGAAACCAGGAAGTGGGGGGTGCAGCAGTCAATGGGGGTAAGTGGAAGTTCTGAGCCCCGTATCCAAGGGCCTTCTGTCCAGCTGGGGTGATGGAGGAGACAGATAGGGTCCGTGCTGGGCCACTGTGAGGCTCACAGAGAGTGGTGCCAGGGCCATTCGGGGTGTCATGGCCTCGGAAGTCTGAGATCTGGTTTTGAATCTGAACTTGTCATTTGCCCTTTGTGGGACTTTGGGCACATTTCTCTTTGATCCTGGGTTTCACATCTCTAAATGAGGGACAATAATGTTTACCTCAGAGGGTTGTGGTAATGACCAAACAGGTCACAATTGACAGTGTCCAGTAGTTTCTGGCATTTACTACATGTTTGGTCAATGTTAGTTCACAATTATTATACCATTTACTAGCTTGTGCAGTGCACTGCTTTTCTGAAACTCAGATACATGAAAGTGCCTGGTACATAGTTGATTCTCAATAAAAGTTTATTTTTATTTTTAACTTTTAAAAAATCTTTTATTTTGAAATAATTCTAGACTTAAAAAAGGTTACAAAAAATACTAGGGAGTTCCCTTGTGGTACCCTACAGCCAGCTTCCCCTAATGTGACTGTCTTATATAACCATAGTACAAGAATCAAAACCAGGAAATTAACAATGGCACCATGCTATTAACTAAACTGTAGACCTTGTGTGTCCTTTCCTGTTCTATGTTCCAAACCAGGACCCCATGTTTCATTTAGTTGTTGTATCCCCTTAGGACACTTCCTAATTTGTGATAGTTCCTCAGACTTCGTCTTTTGTGAGCTGACACTTTTGATGAGTTCTGGTTAATTACATTGTAGAATATTTCTCAATTTGTGTTTGTCTGATATTTTCTCATGGTTAGGTTGAGATTATGCACATTTGCAGGAATACCACAGCAATGATGTGTTACTTTCAGTCCCCCCCCCTTATTATGGTAAAATACGCACAACATAATATTTACCATTTAAACCATTTTAAACTGTATGATTCAATGGCATTAAGTAGATTCATAATGTTGCCTCACCTCTGTCTAGTTCCAGACTTTTTCATCACCCAGAAAGGAAACCTCAAATCCATTAGCAGTCACTCTCCATTTCTTTCTCCTCCAGTCCCTGGCAACTACAATCTGTGTTGTCTGTATGGATTTACCGGTTCTAGACATTTCATATGAATGGAATCATATGAAATATGTGGTCTTTTGTAGCTGGCTGCTTTTACTTAGCATAATGTTTTCAAGGTTCATCCACGTTGTAGCATGGATCAGTGTGCTTCATTCCCTTTTATGGCGGAATAATATTCCATTGCATGGATAGATCACATTTGACTTTATATTCTAATTCAACAGTGAGCCCTGGTATGGACCCCGGGGCTGGGCCTGGGGGGTAAGGGAAAGAAAGGAAGAGAGCCCCGAGACTGGCAGGAGGCACTGTGATGTGTGGGGAAGAGACGGGCGCCCTGGAGAGTATAGGATTGTATTTACGAGAGGCCAACAATGTGTATGGAGTCCAGTGCAGAACTGCTGTTACTGGAAGCAGACTTCTTTGAAAGTTTCATTTGTGGAAAGGTAATAACAGTTGTTCATGAGGAGGGGGAGAGGGGCCCAAGGATGGGAAGGCAAACTCCCCCTGGGGCGGGAGGAGGTGGTCAGTCCCTTGGGGCACCCAGCTTAGGAGGTTTGGCTCCGCGACAGCCCAGCGAGTAGGTTCAGGGAGCGGTTCCTGCCAGCGGGGCGCGCATTGATTGCTTTTAGAGGAAGGGGCGCCTCCCTTTAAGCAAATCCAATGGTTGAAAACTTCGATTTATCCCAGAGGTGTGCTGAGCGGGAAGGCAAACATTCTGGTTTTCCAAACGTTGTATCCCAGCCGCTCTTTAAATAGCAGGCGCCCGTAGGTTTCCTCGCGGGGCTCTGGGGCCCGGAGGAGGCACGGGCGGTCTCCCCGGCGCGGAGGGCAGCGCGGGGAGGCCTAGCCCAGCCCACCGTACCAGCAGCGGTCGGCCAGGGCGCGGCGCGGCCCGGGGCGGAGGGCGGAGCTGAGCGCGCGCCCGCCCTGCCCGCAGCCCCAAGCCGGGCGCGCGCACTCAGGCGGGGGCGGCCCGGGCCCGGA